TACCCCCCCCGTTCAACCACAACCCCCCCATAAACAATCACCACCTCCCCCGCAACCCTCATCATCTCCTTACTATGCGTCACAACCACAACCGCCATCTCCCTGTCCCCCCCCTCCACCAAATCCTGAACAACCCCCCTCACCCCCTCCGCCCCCTCTGCATCAAGTGCACTGGTCGGCTCATCCAACACCAACAGCTTTGGCCTCCTCGCCAGCGCCCTCGCAATACACAACCTCTGCGCCTGTCCCCCGCTCACCGTCTGCCCACCCTCCCCAACCAAGGTATCATACCCCAGGGGAAGAGAGATGATAAAATCGTGAATCCCCGCCTCCCGCGCGGCAGTCTCGATATTATTTCCGTCCGTAAGCAAAGGCGACGAGTCCGGCAGACCATACGTGATATTTTCCCTGATCGTATAGGGAAACAAGATGGGAGTTTGGGGTACATAGGAAATAAACTCCCTCAGCGCTGCCGTGTCCAGGGTCGAGGCAGCCCACCCTGCAAACGTCAAGGGTGGGGGAGAGGAAGGGTTTTGATCCAGTGGGCTGGCAGGGAAAAGCGGGATCGAGTTCCGCGGAGAGACGCTTGGTGTGGTGGTGGTTTCCCACATTAGCGTGGGAGGGGAAAGCGTGAGTTCAGGGCCTATATTCGAGAACCGTTTTGATGACGATGGGGTGGGAGAAACATCGGCGGGAGGGGGCCGGTGGTAAGACGGGATGGTGTCGTTTAGTGGTTCATAAAGCCCAAGAAGTAAAGCCGCGATGGTGGATTTTCCACAGCCCGATAAGCCGACGATTGCGGTGCATGTTCCCGGTTGGATTTCGAGGTTGACGCTCCGTAAAACTTCCGTCTTCGGGGAGCCAGGGTAGGCGAAGCGGAGGTTGGTCATCTTCACGGGAAGAGGGGAGTCAACTCTTCGGTCTCCCTTGGCCTCGTGGCTTGAGTTGTGGGGAAGGTTGGCGTAATAGAGGATCTGCGTGGCGCTGGCTTTTGAAGCGGCGATTTGAGGGACGTTGCTCAACGCCATGACTGAGGTGCCTAGGGAGAAGAGAATGAGGTTGATGACCTTGATGACATCCGTAACAGTCGTCGAATTGGTGCTCAGAATCTTTGCCCCGTAATAAAACACCAACGCCGTCAGGAAAAACGCAATCGACTGATAAAAGCCATAAAAGATGCCCACAAACCCAGCCCGCTTATACCCCAAAAGATACGTCGAATGGGCAGACTTGGTGTGCTTGTCAGAAAAGTACCTCTCCAGAGTCAGCGCCCGCACAACCTTGATGTTGGCAAACGTCTCGTTGAAGATGGCGCTCGTCGCAGTAGCAGCCTCATTAGCAATCGACTCCCACTTGTCGCTCATCACCGCATTCCCCCTCGCAGCCGCAATAGCCATAGGCAAACCAGCCAAAGCCACCAGAGTAAGATCCCACTTGATGATCAACGCCCAAACCAACGACGTCAGAATCATCAGCGAAACCGTCAGCACAATCGGCAGAAACATGCCCACCAACTTCCTCATCTCTTCCGCGTTCCGATCCAGGCATTGCGTTATCCTGTTAGGAGAATGGTTCGCCTTGTCGAACCAAGACTTGGGCTGGCTGAGGATCCGTCTGATGGCCTCGGCCCTCAGCGCATTCACCCACTTCTGAGCAACCTTCTCCAGGAAAAAGTACCCGAGAAACGTCGCACTGGCATCAACCACCGCAACAATCGCCAGGTATCCCGCCCACGTGCTCCCCGCCGACTCCGGCCCCTCAGGCAGCCAAAACGCCCCAATGAGATTGGCAAAGATAAAGGAGAAAACCGGGTTGCCAGCCGCAATGACCAGACACAAAAGCAACCCAGCTATCAACTGCAACCTCCCCCTCTTATCAAGCGTAGGCCAAACAGTCTTCAAGATGGCCCCAATAGAAGGTAACCGATGACCCTTAATCGTCCGTCCCTTCTTCTTATCCTTCTTGCTCGCCAAGTGTTCCAAAAAGAACTTGTCCAGCGAGTCCAACGACGCCGAGCTCTCCGCCACCGACGGCTTCTCTTCCTGTCTCGCATTCGGAATCCTGCTGCTCTGCACTTCCCGTCCCATTGTCGTGACGATGTGCATGCTCTGCGGCCTCAACGAAACGCGCGAAGTGGGCCTAGCGGCAGTGGACCGTCGACGCTGCTGAGGAGGAGGAGGAGGAGGCTGAACAGGATCAGATTTCCACGACATGCGAGGGAAAAAACCGAGCGAATGCATCCTAGGATTGTCGATCAATGCCCCGCGGAGGAATTTCCCATAGCTGGCCTCCTGGACTGGCTCGTCATCAGACAGCTCGTAGACACTATCAACGTCGCTGTCGGTTGAGGCGGACCCTCTTGAAGAGCAGGCATCATCTGCCGAAGCGAGCAAAGAACCAAAGAGTCCATCTTCTTCGGCGGCAATCTCCTTGCTGGGACCTTGTTGGACAACTCGACCATCGGCCATGACATAGACAAAGTCGTCATCTTCAATATGCCCCACCTCGTGGGTGATGAAGATGGTGGTCCTGTCCTTGCGCCAAATGCGGATAGCTTCCATGATCATGGTTCTGCTGACGGGGTCCAAGCCGCTGGTGATTTCGTCGAGGATGAGCACAGGGGGATCACGAAGCTTTGCTCTGGCAAGTGCCAGCCGTTGCTTTTGTCCACCGCTGAGGTTGTGGCCGCCAGAACCGAGCTGCGTGTTGATGCCATCAGGCATGCCCGTGATGGTGGACTGGAGAAGCGCCATGCCGCAGGCATGCTGGATCGCCTCAGGGGGGACCTTGTCCGGCTCGGTGGCACCAAACGCAACGTTCTTGGCGAAGGTATCGTTGAACAGGATGCTTGACTGCTGAATGAGTGTGACATTGCGGCGTAGCCATTCCAGATCAAGTGTCGTAACGTCATGGCCGTCGACAGTAATGCGGCCATCGGTAGGTTCATAGAATCTCAGCAAAAGATTTCCCAGCGTACTCTTCCCGGAACCACTCCTGCCCACAACAAAAGTGAGTTCTCCCTCGGGAAAGTGAAACGTCGATGGCTCGAGCACCGTCTTGGTTGGGTTGGAGGGATAGGCAAAGCTGACATTCGTCATCTTGATGTCGCCCGTGCAGCTTGAAGGCTTCTTCCATCCGTTATTCTTGTCGAGCTCCTCATTTGCCTCCTCACCGGCCACATTCTTGAGCAGCTGCGCAGCCTGCATTCCCTTGGCCAATATCAGCCACTCGGGCCCCAGAGTCTCTATACTCTTGAAAGCACTCAAAGCAGCGTAAAAGGTCGTGAGTGCATTTCCCGGAGTGAGATCACCTCTCCCGACGAGAACAACGGCAAAGTAAAAGCCTACTACGAACAGCATGATCATCCACATCTTGATGTAGCTCATCTGGCCGCAGTTGCAAAGCACCTGCCTCGAGTAGTACTTGGCAGACCGGCGGATGGCTGAGATGAACTGAAAGGCTTCCTGATCGGCTGCATTGTAAACCTTGACGATATCGATGGATGTGGTTGCGGCGGTGGCATGCTTGGCAGCCTCTGCTAATTCTCGTTTCTGCCCTTCGATGGCGGGATCGAGGAAGCGGCCGAGAGCCCAGAGTATCACAGCCGATGGCACGCCAGTAGCGAGCAGCACCAGCGTGAGTTTCCAAGAGAAGGAAAAAGCGACGATGAAGCAGGCCACAAAGACCAGCACATCGCAGACCAAAAAGCCCAATGTCTGGGAGGTGGCCAGCTGAAGCTCTCGGGTCTGCCTGTTGTTTTGTCAGTCTGGCTCCTGTTCAGCACCTCAAATCATGCGACTTACGTCTGAACCTGCACAAGCAATGCCCAAACACCCTCGCCCCTGAGATCATACCACCCCGCCGTCTTGCGCAATAAAGATCCAAACATGATCTCTCTTGTTGTCCTGGCCCTCAATTCGCCAGACACCACCCACAGGGCAATGTCAATCGAAGAAAACAGCCATACTCCCAGCCCAAGAAGGACGAAGTAGATGGACCATTGTGAGATCTGGGAAACAAACTCGTTGGGTGTCAGGGTGCCGGCACCCCATTTCGATACAATTTCGAAGATCTTGCCAAGCATGATGGCATAAGCAGTGCGGCCAGCCGCAACGAGGGAAGCAGTGAGAAACGAGAGAAGAATGAGAGGTATGTGTTTCGGTCGGGTGAAGCTGAATAGCGTCGCGAATGTCGATCTTGTGGTCGGGACTGGCCCAGCCTTTTCTCGTTCGCTTGGTGTCTCCTCCATTTTGATGGCGATGTCGTCCCGCTCTGTCGTTGGAGTCGGGTACCCATTGAGGGAAGAGGACTGAGGAATTGACGAGGAAACCATGTCGATGGTGATAAGTCTCTCGGGGAGAGAGGATCATGGAATTGGTCGAGACGAATGAGACCAAGTGCTTGTCAATTGATCGAGATGGGTGCGTCGACAAAGTATGGGAAAACGAAGTCGGATTTCGGCATGGAACTAATTCCCGACAAAAAGTCTGTGTGGCTTCCATGATTGCCGCCTCTTGGTTCCTGAGTATAATGGGACGTGTGGTGAAGCTGTAAGCCTTTGTGCGATGTTGGTATTGTGGTGTGGTGCTCTTCAGGGGTTGTGGTCGAGGACAATACTAAGGGGTACAAAGCATGGTGGGGGGCCACGCACAATGGTCCAGAGCAGGGTACAGGCACAGGGGACATCATCTCACTTGAGAAGAACAGTGAAGAGGTAGGTATCATTTCTAACTTCAGAAAAAGTATTATCTTCAGGCGCTAGATCCAGCAGCCTTCTCCTGCTGCGCCTTCTCGTAGATCCAGTCATTCAGGCCAAGCTTGTTTCGCGCAATCTCGATGGCGTAAAATTGCATTCTTGGTACTGTTTAAGGTGTTAGTGATCAATTCTCGACAAGGTCCGTTCCTTCAGCCAAAACATACCGAAGATGGTATCCTCCTCGGTGTACTCGGCCTTGGGGTTGGAGCGCAGCATGGTGCCAAAGTTGTAGTCATCGACCCTCTTGTCGTAGGCCATCAGGAACTTGCGCCACCTCTCCTTGCCGGTTTTGCTCTTCATCTCGTCTTCATCAATGGTGGCAGCGGGGTCGAACTCGGGGAAGTCGGTCTTGAGGTGCTCGTAGATCTCGTCGTCGATCTTGGTCAGGCGCAGAGTAGAGCCCTTGACCTTCTCGAGGATGGACCAGTAGGTGGCCATGTGCTGGACAGCCTTGACGGCGAACTGCTTCTCGATCTACGGCATCATAGTGTCAATGGAAGCGCTGGGCAGGCAACCTAGGAACAGGGAAGTCGCACATCCTCGAGGTTGTCCGCATTTTCAGCGTCAAAGTTCTTGGGAACGGGGCCTCCGACGACAGACATGGTGATGGTTGGTCTTTGCGGTTCAGGTAAATGTTGGTTTATGTGTGCAGCTATCAAGAGAGCAGCACAATTATGGGAGGCGCCGTCAGCAAATGTTTTATCGCAAAAAGTAAGAGGCAAAAATACCAAGGGCGGGCGCCACGAGACAGCACCAGAAGCTTCAAGCAGCCGCCAGAGCTTATGGCGGGGTGACTGACGTTTTTTCGCGGGGTTGCCAGGGTTAGGCTGTTATCGATAACAACCCCAGCATGATCTTATCTTATCTAGACCACTTCACACTTCATGCTGTCTTGGCATGGACCCGCTTTTGACATCCGCCAAGCCAATTCCAATAAGTGACTGCCAAGACTGTCTTGCTGCTCGCTGTGTGCCACAACATCTCCATCTCGTTCACGCCAGCAACTGTCGCAGAATTCTTGCAGCGACCTCCCTATTTCTTCGTATTCCTGAGCTGGGCTTGTCTCATCCATTCCAACTCCCCAGATATATGATGGCTGCCCCGCCGCCTTGAAAGGCTCGCCTTGTTGGTGTAGCGCCGTTAGCCGTGTCCTAAGAACCACATCGCCGTTGGGGCTTCGTCGCCCATGGTGGGGGAACTTTAAGGGGCCATGAGCTATGATGCGTACTCATTGGGTTCGGCTCTTGTGGCACAAGTCAGGGGGAGCTTAGTCGCGAAAACCCAAGGCGGGATCGGAATGGCTTGCGCCGAGCATCCACTGCCATTAAAGACGGCAGCATCACCAACTTTCTCTACCTCGAATACACAGCCATCTATATACAAATGGAGATACAACGACCGCCGGAGCCCGCAACAGCCGTAGCCGGACAACCAGGGAGCACTGCGCGCCTGTTGGAGGATGATGACGATGAGGCCCCTGACGATGGAGCTGTCCTCGAGAACGAGGGTGGTGGTCCCCCGGCCACCACGGGCGACATCAGAAAATCCTCACCTCTAGCCCTGGGTGGCTCTAGCTCACGGATACCTCTGAAACAAACCGAGTTGTCAGTACTTCACTTGTTCTGTCACTTTTGGCCTTGTGATACCCAGTTGCCTCCACAAGCCCATCCCCGCCCTTGCTTGTCCCACCCACGTACTTGATGGACGCAAGCCTTCCCGATGTATACCATATCGCAAAGTCTGAAATTCCAAATTTAACATGCCGATATTTAGGCTATCTGCGCCAACATTCACTGGCACCAGGCAGACAATCCGAACCGCACAAACTCCACCGTTCACCCAGCCCCCTACGCCCAAAGGAGAAAATACAGCTCTACCTGGCGGTTCGAAGTCACACAGTCCTCAAGCAGCGCGGCACAGGTCCTTGTCTGCCTCATCGTTACGCAAACCGTCTTCGATGCCGTCAATGGTGGGAGTGAAGATACGTCCAAAGCCGTCAAGTGGCCCCAAGCAATCCAAAAGCAACAGCCGACTCACAAGTCCTTCATCATATTCCCTGCCAGGGCCACGGAGCTCAACTACGCCAATAGGACCAAGACCTTCCACGACACAACATGGACGAGGTGCAACACCATCAAGCAAAGCACCTGTCCCCCCTAGGGCAACAAGTAGTACTGAGACGAGGAGACAATCGCTCTCTGGCATACCAGTCGCTCTGGGTTCCCCTATTGCTTTGCTTTCATCTGGAGTATTAAAGACCGAACCTCGACCACGCCCCGCTAGCCTTTTGGCTGTACCATCATCAGGGCCACGCACGTGGCAAACTGACTCAAAGGCGCCTTCTCCTGCACCCACGCCGACACTCACAAAGGCCAAAAGACTCCCCGCCCAACTCGAGACAAGGGAGGTTGGCTCTGCCTCCACGGTTGGCAACCCAACCAACGGAACTCTACCTCCCACCAGATCCCCTACTCCCCGTCAACCCGTCAGAGCTTCTGCGACTCAATCCGCCATTCCAGCCAGATCATCCCCGGTACAGGATGCCGTAAAAACACAAGATAAGCAAGGGACATCATCATCAAAGCCTTCCACAATCCAAGCAACCTCGAGGCAATTGGGGACTGCGTCAACTGAAACACTTGTTAATCAAGAAGGAAGCGGTAGGTTGGCGAAGCAAACAACTGTGACTGCTCCTGGGGGAGCGCCTGGAGGGATATCCGAGAGACTACCAACTCCGACCACACCCAGTAGGCGTTCATCCACTCATGAGGTAACATTGAGGCCAGAAAGGGTATCTGGGCACTCTGTTTCGACGAGAATCCTGGCCAAGTCGGCAGCCAGTCAAACGACTGCCACGCCTTCTGGCAGGCTTTCTGCAGCCCAAGAAAGTCAAGACACAAGAATAGCCAAGGATCCAGACCGTGGGTGCTCGTCTCACTATCCACTCTTGAGCGCAAAATCTCGAAGTTTGACAAGGACCCAAGGCAAACAGCTTCAGATGCGAATTCCATCAAGAAATCACGCGGCACATGCGAGTCTGCCCACAACCCCGGTATCTGCAACTTCAACTGCTTCGTCAAAGCTTGTTTCACCCTCTACTTCTGCTTCACGCAGGAGTTCGTCCTGCGCCTCGGTAACTCAAGGGGGTTCGAGAGATTCTGTGAAGCTTTCTCCGACTCCACCATCCTTGGCAGCCCCCAGCAGGCCCTCCACAACCCCAGCTGCAGTTCCAACTGTGCCAACACTCCCGCCGACCCCAGCATCGCCAAAGTGTCCACTGAAGCCCCCAGGAAGTCCTGCTTTATTTACCGAGGCACTGTTTCAGAGCATATCCTCACCGCATTGTGTGGATGTGAATCTTAAACACCCAGCTGAGATTCAAGGACTTTGGATAACACCCATTATCTCCCCACCAGTACCCACACCGGCTATTGAAAAAGAGTCCCAATCGCGGCAAGGAGAGTCAAGCGCCGGCAAAACGTCGCCGTCGTGCTCAGAGGGGCATCAAAGTCCATCAGATTTGCGAGCGCCTCCGGACACGCCGACCGTTCGAGTCCCTGCTAATGATCTGGGAACTGAAGCAGCAGATAAACCGGCTGTCCCATTCCATCCACTTGCAAGTGGTGGACTCTTCATTTGTGGCAATGAGCCACGTATACAGAAGCAAGAATCTCCGAAACTGCCCAGATTCGTTGGGTATGCGCCTCCGGTAAGAATTCTCCGCTCCCCGGAACGGGCTCCCGTTCCCCTCGAGTACCCTCCTTGGGATCGGACTGTCGAGGTAACGTGGGAGAGAACGCTCAACAACCCGGCGGATAAGTTCATCTTTGACAAAGAGCTGTCCTTTCAGCAAGGAGTTCTTCGTCTGAGAAGGGAAAGAGCTTCCCGTGACCCCGATGGCACACACACATTAAACCATACAGGACTCCAAAATGGAAGGTATCCTCAGCTCAAAGGCCTAGCAAGATTAAACCGTTGTCTTTACTTCTTATTGCCCGATCGAGCCCGCTTCAAGATTACCAACATGATTCTCAACGATCACAATACGGGAAACCTCAATCCAAAGCCTGTTCGCATGAACCCTCCGCATTGCTATGAGCCAATATGGCCCCTGAATCCTCTGGATGGTCGCAAGCTGTGGACTACAGAATGTTTGGACTCCTTTGCGTCTGCAATTTCTCCGCTTTACCCTTATATGTCAGTCTGCTACGACATGCGTGTCGACTTTCTCGCCGCCTTCTTCCTTGCTCGGAGATTTCACGTTGTGTACAGCCCGTTTGTGGCGGAGAAGAATTGCCCGACAGCGACACTTCTGATGGACTCCTTCGTTCCTCTGATGAGATACATCACGCTTGAGGTTGACTACACCAAGTTGGGAGGGAATGTTCATCCAACTGCTGTCGGTGTGGATCAATGGAGAGGACTTCAGAGAGTTCGCCAGTTGGTGTTGAGATTTGCCGACTTGCAGTGTACCAGGGCCGACGGAGTCAACATTGGGAATTTGTGTTTGATGGTGCGCAGGTATTACGGCTTTCGGGAAGGAATGAAGTGGAAGAAGGGGTCGGCAGAACGAAGAGTCAGGCATGATGAGCCAGAGACAGAGGAAGAATCATCGGGTTGGTCAGACACCAGTCACGCCAGCGATGAGACCGCAGAGAACGACGATGAGGGTAAGCCTTTATGCTCCCAATGCAATTCTACACACTTGCTAACACGTTCAAGAATTTGTACCGTATCATCCAGATGCCTATCTTTGCATCCTCGACCCACTGAAGACGATAGGCCACCACATCGACAGTCTTACCATAGTGGGCACCACTCGGAGCTATGCGAACGAGCTGATATACGCCGTTTGGGGAAAAGACGAGATTCCCAGAGGCCCTGGCTGGAAGACACGAATTGAGAAACACCGCAAGTATCGCACCGCAGCCACCTTCCCTTTTACGCCTGGTCAGAGGTCAGCCCTAACGCGGTCCGGGAGGCTTCAGATCACTCGTCACACGCGTGATCCGCGCTGCTGGGTTGGCTCTTACGGGTGCAGACTGCGACCAGAGGTCAAACTCGCCGAATCGAAGCTGGTCCCGGGAAAGACCAAGTACGGCTTTCAATGGAACGAGGAAGTACGACCTGGCCCCCCGGGTGGCGTTTTGACAATAGTGAAGCTGCCCGCAGATGAACATCTGACGAAGGTCGTGATGAAACCGGCCGAGTCACCCCCACGCTTTACTTCTACCATTCTATCCAAAGTCTTCAACCGGACACCAAAGGGCATTCGGCCCCCGCTATCTGCACCTTCGTCGCCCGGCCTTAACACCACCCCAAAGTCGACTGTAGCGCCAGCCTCAGGACCGGTATCGCCGTCTATTACTAAGCCGAGTCCCCTTTCTCAAATAACCTATCTCGGGGAAGAGTCGAATGATGAAGGTCGGCATAAGTTACGACAGTCGTCACCAAATTCCGATGCTCAGCACATGGAGGATGATGGGGATGACCACCGGAAACGGCATTTTTGGAAGCCGTCCAAGATTCCTTTGGGAACTCTGATCAAGAGGCATGCCAAGTCAATCACGAAGAAAATATCGAGCAACAAGCTTGGTGAGATTAATTCAGAACATGATAGTCATAGTGGTGGTGGGTCTGAAGATCAAAAGGGGACTTTTGGGAAGTTGATGAAGAGGGCGAGTAGCAATGTGCTAAGGAACGGCTTTTTTGGGAAAAGGGGGATTCAGACGCATCGGTATTAGTTGGAGTTTTATTGGGCTGTTGTGTATATTGCATGATTTCTTTTGGGTGTTTAGGACTGAAGATACAACCTGTGACATGCAGTCAACCGAGCAGATGTCATTTTGGAGAACAAAACATAGTCATTATCGTCGTCGCTGTACTGTGATTCACATTACGTGTCAGGTCAAGAGACAGGATGTCATTTGACAGACCAGACCCACTGACGCGCAGTTGACTGTTACAATGGTTGATAGATAAGGTACTTATTGTAGCTCATTGCCGCTTTATCATAAACACGCTGCCTACATAGACTGACACCAATCACCTATTTTAGGCCTACGAAAATATCCATCAAACCAACACAAACCGCTCAACATTCCCGAATCATCATGTCGCAACTTCAACAGCCAACAACCACGGCCACTAACCCCGAGCCTTCCAACCCCAAAGAACCCACAAAGCTGAAAAAGCGAGTCACTTCCATCGCAATCAGGTATCCCCCCTCGTAGCCCCCACCTCGGGCCGCGATCGAGGCGGCAGTCAGGGACATCTACTCACGACGAGAAAACTGCAAAGTGGTACTGGACAAAAGCAAGAGGACTAGGCTTGGGATTAGGCCGATTTTGCAGCCGTTGGAGAGGAAGAGGGATGGGGATGGCAAGAAGAATGTTAATGATACTGGGGAGGGGGAGAGGATTTTGTTTGTTCCTTTTGATGTTCCTTTGCGGGCTGATCACTGAGGTGCCCGGATTATGTAGGGGGGAGGGGGGGGGGGGGGGGGGGTTGAGGGAAGGGGTTTTTGGTACCTTTAGGATAAATAAAATAAACATTTCTAAAATTTTTTATGATGGCCTTTTTTTGGAAATTTTTTGGTTTTTTTATTTTAAATTTATTTTCTTCCTTTTTATTATTTAAAATTTTTCCCTTTTCTATTTCAAAAAAAACAACCCTTTTTTTATTCTTCCCAACCTAATCAACAACGTCCCTCAACTTTACGCACTCACTTACTCCCTCGGGCCAACAGATCAACAAAGCATTTCCCTCATAACATCTCCCATCAACACGATGGCCGACAAAAAACCCACAACCTCCCCTGTCAGCAATCCTGAGCCCCATACCGCCCATCTCGCCCCCGAGACCGCCCCCAAGCCTACCTCACATCATGACGCCGGGACTAACACGCCACCCGACGACACAGCAGGGATTGGGGATCGAACAGCCGAAGCCTTTACCATTCTATTAAGTGGATTTGTCCGTGCCAGACAACATCGTGCTGGACAGGAGGAGTTTAACCAGAATGTGGAACATATGGACAAGGTTATTGCTGAGAGTCAGGCTCGGGTGGAGGAGCACAGGAGGTGGTTGGAGGGGTTTAAGAGGGGTGGAAGGGGAGGGGGGGGGAGTGGGAGGAGGGGGGAGGGGGGAAGGGAGGAGGGAAAGGAGGGTAAAAAAGGGAAGAAGAAGGAAGGGGGGAAGGAAGGGGAGTAGTGGCATTATGTTACGACGCTTGTGAACTTTGCGTCTTGGAAGTAATTTCATTTACGTTGGTGGATGCATCCTGTGTCCGAGTGTGCCCGATCCATTTCATCCAGGTCTATCCATCATGTCGCGTGTTTGATCAACTCCGAATGTTTTCCCTGCAAACTACACGACAAACTCAGATATCCAGCCGGCTGAGAATCACGGTGCTTGAGGGGCAGGCTGTCACCGTGCGAGACCGCCACAAGCTGCTTTGGGTTTGGATACCTGCTGGTGACTTTTGGCTTGGACAGAGGCACCCAAGGGTGTGCAAATTGAAGTCATGATTGCAACCATTCAGAAGCAGGATTTGGAGGATATGCGCCCTGGCTGAAGTGAATTGGCTGGCAATCAGTTTCCTTGCATCTGTTTTCGATTCGAAAAGGTTGGGTGTAACGGAGAAGATCCCAAGCTCTCGTAGGTAGACAGTCAATCTAGCAGGAATATCATATGCTGAAACACGCTGTCGCCAACCACCTTATTTTAGGCGTGCAGCGGGTGGCTCTCAAGATTAACAGTGATTGGTTAGATCACTGGGTGCCACTCTTCACCGTAGTTGCTGTGGGATGTTGCCGCACGGCCGGCCGACCTTGTTATTGTCCGCCTCTTATGGATAAAAATATCAGTTGGAATTGTATGTAAATACTCTGAGGCTGTTTTCTACTGGGCCCACAGCCGGTTTCTTGCAGGCCAAAGTCGTGCACTCACAATATGGGCTCCCTTGAAACAACGTGCTGACCCGGCCTGTGCTGGGTATTCAGAAGCTGGCCATGCAGTAGTATGTTTGAAAAGCACACTTGGATTGCATTGCACACAGAGATTGCCGCTCTATTCTTAACCGCCCCTTTCGCTATTGGATACCGTATTCACTACTTCAACCTCAACCCCCTCCCTTTCAGACTTCTTCGGGATGGGTATTGGCAATGCTGGCCCCTCTCCGTCTCTTCAGCGGTATGCCGGAACCCAACATTCCGTCGTCGGGATTTCTCTTCGACGGGCAAGATCCTTCCGTGGGTTGGATGGGGCCGTCGGCGTTTCCATTCTCGGGCAATGTTGTCTGGATCCCTGAGAGTGCGATGGAGTGTGAAGATGCCGTCAGAGCTGCTGTTTATGATTGGAACGGTCAACTGCAGCGCTGCACCGGGTACAAACTATACGACAAGCACTAAATATGACGCTGGCCATTGCGACAACAGCTCCTACCGCACGAAGGCGTCAAAAAAGTGCGGTTGGAAATGCCACGAATGCCAGTCCGAAGTTTCTGCTGGTCTCGATACCTATGCTTGTACTCACAGGGCTTGCTACATGTGCTCGATCAAAGAATTGAAGCGGATGGTCAGTTGCATCTTCCCGTACTGGTCTAGTAACACCGACGGGACTAAAAAGAACTATTATGTAGGCAGCCTTAATTAATAACCGGGTAGGGCGGAGGCATTAAAGGCGATAATTAGTAAGCAGGCTTATCTTTAGGTTTTCTAATAAACATCATTATTATATATTTCTTTAACCAATAATAATATCGCTCTCTTACCTAAAATATATAACCTACGACGTACTATTATAATATAAAATTTCTATATTAAATTTATTATTTAGGATTTGATTTTTAATTTGGAAAGCGATATTACGCTTAATATAGGCTATAGAAACGCCGCCTTCCGTATCTACTATAATGTACGTACCCTCGCCGCCTTACTATATACCTTGAAATAGCATCGTAAATTATACCGAATTCTATATAGGGATGATCCGGATAGAGGATCCCGTTAAGCGGTAAAACGACTCCGAAAACTGTTTAAAGTATTTATAACCTAAATAGCCCTAAATCCATTAATTAAATTAATAAAGTATTTATACTATTATCTTTACCCGCCGTGGTTCATTTTCGAGATAAGAGTAGCTAAGAGCGGGTGCGTTTAGCTATGTTTTAAAGCGGCCCTCTCGCGACAGGAGTTTAAACGTCCGGGTAAATATATAAATATCTCGACTCTCATTTCGAGAGAAATCCAATGCTGTTTCTGGAAGACATACTGCCAAAATCTAAGGAAGATTTCTTCCTTATTTTTATATTTATACCCCTAAGTTTTTTAATGAACCTGAAGCATATAAGCGCCGACTGTGACAAACCCCTGTACAGAACCTCTGAAAGGGATACTGGTTGAAGGTAACTTCTGACAATTGGTTCGGTGCAGCTAAAGAGTGCACAACAAGATGTCTTAATGTAAACACTAAATACCGTGAATATAAGCTGAATTGCATACTGCGGAACTGTCTATCTACACTAGCCAGTTCCTCCGTATATATAGACCGGTTTATTACTATTATCACTAGTAATAATGTCGATTATTACTCGTCGTTCATCGAAGGCTGGTGATAATCGTGATTATCACCCTTAGCACTAATAATAATCCGACTTCCCCACTTTTCCGTTTCAGTGGTTAGACGGTCGCGCCCCGCGCTCCCCACTTATGTCAGGTCCGTGACACCCTGATAAGCCTATAATATATGTTAGCTAGTAAGCCCTAATAGGCCTATAATATAAAACCTATACAGGGTTGCTGTAAAATACAGCAGTGCGTAAGCGGAAGCAGGAAGATACGACGGCAGTGCCGAAGGAAAGTAAAGCACTGTAATACAGTGAGGTATAAGGAATAAGAATTG